GGGGGGGGGGTGGGGGGGAGGGAGGCGCGGCGCGACTTGGCTCCCGAAACTAGCCTCAACTACCGTTGCCGAGGCGGCCTCGCGTTAGCGATAAAATTATGAACTGTCTGTCGCTGGGCTTCATGTTGCATTCAGTATTTATCTTGAGTCTCTTCCGTCATCGCCCACCTCCATGACCGCTGCAGCAGAGGTCGGGGCAGCTGCTTTAGGAGCAGCCGTGCTAGAGACTCCCGCGCTGGCGGGGCTGGTGGTGGTGACGCCGGTCCCAGCCGCCTCTTAATAAGCTGGAGGGATTCAGAAAAGCCGTCGACGCGACGTGTCGGGCCCTGCCTTGGGAGCTCCGGCCCCGGCCACAAGGCCCGCCGCACGGGACGCGGGCGCCTCTGAAGGAGCCGAGGCGGCCTTAGCCTTCTCCTCGCAGGGACAACAACAGACCAGAGGCAACGCGGAGGTAGGGTCTCTGCGTTGTGTTGGGTCTGTTGGGTCTGTGGACGCGTACCCCGTCCTCTCGGTTGGGTGCCTCGTCACGGCTCTTGGCTGCTGCAGCGACTTCCGGAGCCTGCAAGGAGACGACAGCTTTGCCGGGCTGCTGCACTAGTTCAGAGGGGAGTCGCTTCCACCCGCATGCAGGCCTTTGCCACTGGGACGACGCTGGGGGCCTGCGCTGGGAGAATGAACAGCACGAGCTGAGGAGTCAGATGTTGGCATCGGCTGTCCATCGACCAAGCCTGAGCCGGAGTTGTTGCCTTTGAAGTCGACATCCTCGGCTGCGGCAGAGCTGCAATAGCTGCAGCATAGTTGCCTGTAGTTACTCTTCCGAGTGCATGCTGAGATTCGTCGCTCTACTGGAAAGGACGGCCGGGTCGAGCTGGGCTGCACTCTGGATGCTTCTGCAAATGCTCGCGGATGTCGATGCCACCTCTGTCATGAACACCTTTGCTCAACATCGTGACTCACCCAGCAACTTCCTGCCCGGTCTGCTTTGCCCACATTATGTATAGCAACTAATGTCTTTGCAGGGTGCTGTATGCTGGAGGTTTTGTTCCAAGAGTACAGTATCAGCCCCGTCAAGATTCCTCAACGTAGGGCCTTAGGGAATAAATCCAACTTAACTCCAACCTGGCAAGCTCTGCTTTCACGAATCCGTCTGTACAGCGCACGGATGGCAGCGAGGCTTCTTGTGAATTTGTTCAGCGAATTAGATGCCTGAATTCAGATAAGCTCCCCAGCTCCTCTAGTTTCAGTATCGGCAAAGCATTCCACAAAGCGGGTGCTTTGCACGCCAGCCAACCCGTCAGGTCTCTGTCACCTTGGAAAGTACGTCGAATAGCCATGCATCCGATGTGCGGTTCTCGGCGAGAGGCCATCGTCTGGCCGTGGAGGGACTGTCATTGGCCTCTGGCAGCCACTTGACGTACCCACCCCCTGCGAAACTGGTTACGACCAAGGCCGAGGCCAGAAGCAACCGCCTCAAGGTAGCATCGTCCGCTGCGGCCGTGGAGCGGTCATAGGCTGCACAGATTGCTGGACAAGTCAGAAACAGCAGAGGACGCATCCATTGTTTGTGACGCTATACGCCAAAAGAAGCGCCATGCTGCACTGCAAAGGCTGTGAGGCGTGCCACGAGCAGATGCTGCTTGCTGCTGTGCCATGTGCTCGTCTGGCAGAAGTTGCACCTTGCAGCTTTCGAGAGGGATCTGGTCTACTGCAGCAACGGTCTGAAAATTGGTGCAGCGAGCTGCCCTCAAGCAGAAAGGTGACTCCAGGCTTGGTACCCCGCATAGGCAGCCTGCCTCTTCTTTGGACCTTTTGCCCAATTGGCAACGCGAGTTCCAAACACGGTCAGAATCAATGCAATCTGATCTTTACAAGCATCGTTCTCTAAGAGGCTTGCTCCGTGAAGATGCATGACCGAAGAGTTCGCTGGGGCAGTGCGCGAACCTCGGCGAGCTATGCGTCATCGGGTCATCATGGTCATCCTTCTTTGAGGCGGTCCGAATGCAAACTGAGGCTGTGGCGGGCAGGTCTGGTCAAGTATGCACCTCCCCACCTGCACAGATCCCCCCATATCCCCCCTACCTCCAGGACTGAGGCATGACATGTCTAATGTGGTGGCTGGCACGTGGTCGGCCTCGAGAAACTGGGCGCACATCTCCCTCTTCTGACTCACCGGCATCTCGCCTCCGCTACATGCCATGCTTCAAGCGTAGTGACGTAGTGGCCGTGCCTCCTGCACACATGCTTCGAACAGACAGAAACCGCAAAACCTCCCACCCCGCCTGTCTCAGGTTCCTCTGCGGCTTGTGCCAGCAACCGCGCCAATGCTACATCCTGGGGAAGGCTTGGTGCGACGCGAGCAACACGGCGAGCTTTGGAAGCAAGATGAGGCTAGGCAAACAGGCAGTGGTCTTTTCGATTCCATTCTCCACGCCGTTGTCCGGCTTCACGTAAAGCACCGATTCGCCCAGGCTGCAGTGCCTCCTTTGCCATCCAAAAAAAACCGACCAGAATCACCCGCGTCGTTTTCATCTTTTGGTCCCGATATTTCCACGTCCACGTGGTGGAGTCTCCGTGGAGCAGCAGGCAGCCCTTGGAAAACCCTAAAAGTCCTAAACCACCACCACCACCACCACCAGCACCAGCACCAGCACCAGCACCAGCACCAGCACCAGCACCAGCCTAAACCCTTGCCAAGTGGGTCGCTCCACTCGGGAGGCATGCGCCGAGGCGGAGTACCATCGTGTCACTGATCGTCGACCACTTCTCTTGGACACAAACCTTGCACTGAATCGCCCTCCTTTGGCATGATGTCATCCACCACTAATAAACTCGAATGGTGGGCCGTCTCCTAATCTTCCCTTATGGCTGGGGGCCACGACGAGGCCTTGCGAAGATCGATAATGCGGCAGCTGTTCCAAAACAGCTCTCCGCAAGATCTCGCTGGCACTCGGATGCACGCCTCTCGTGGCCGAGCGCGAAGGCATCGTAGTCGTAGTCTCCAGGGCAGGGCACTCCGTGCCACCCCAAACCCTGGCCATTGCCCGGAGGATTTCCACAGCTTCCGAGCTCGACTTACAGCCAGAGGAGACTTCACTGAGATCTGGAGGAGTCAGCGAGCAGAGGCCGACCAGGGCCATCTCCCGCCTCAGCAGCTCCGCAGCCGAGCTCTTCCCTTGTGGCTTCTCTTTTTGCGCCTTTGGCTCGGTTGCATCCACCGGAGGGCATCCACACTTCTTGGCCGCTTCTGCATGCCGACGACCTGCGATGTGCGTCTCCACACTTGCAATGTCATGAAAGGGGCCACAGCCGCAAGGTTGGCAGAAATACTCTCGCTGTCCCACACGTCCGGCTGCGGATGAGCAGAAGTCGTGCGTCACGATGCCTTGATTCTGCAAGTGCTGGGGTAGCAACAGCATCTCCTCAAGAGTTTCCTTGGCTGAGGCGAGATCATGTGCGTATTATCTCCGACAGGCCAAGTCATCCTACCAAAACTGAATCCCTGGCATACACTCACGATCTCTCACAACAATGTGACAAGGTTCTGGCGGCCTTGCTTTCCTCTGGTGCCTTTTCCCGATGATGTGACCATGCATCTGCTCAGTAGATAAAATGGGACCCGCATTGCAAAGCTGGCAGAAGAGCCCATCGTGACGCAGAACAATGCCTGCATTCAGTGATGGGCAAATCGACGGAACACAGCACTGGTGCCGGGATCGATGCTAGTCTGGGGCTGGGTTTCATTGACCGGTTGCGGCGACCTAGATTGAGGGGATTTAAATTCCAGTAAGTTTGTGGGCCGGCCCCGCCAAATGTTGACAAATTTTGACAAATAAAGACAAAAAAGACAACTAAAGACACATAAAGACAAATATTAGACTAATAAAGACAAATAAAGACAGATTTTGACAACATATTGACAAATAAAGACAAATTTTGACAAATAAAGACAAAATATTGACAAATAT